TATTAATTATTCGCCGGCAGGCTGCGCGGACTTATCGACTGGGTGACAGCCCGATATACCGGTCGATCCAGGAAGAGGGTGAAAAATAAAAGCAAAAGACGGGGGAGAGGAGAGGGGGGGGGGAATATTGGCGAAAGCGGATAGGAAACGAGCGATAAATTATGACGCTTCCTACGTCGAGGATTAACGCGGCACGGGGGAAAAGTGGCGGCGAAGAACGTGCAGAATGTCTTGGGGTATTTTCTTTTTTCATCATCTTTTTTCCTCATTTTTTTCCCGTTTTTTTTTTTTTTACGCATCGTACACGGACGTCTGAAGCTTCAACGCGAATCTGGAGGGTAGGTGTGGCATGTGAAGAGAAGCATCATTAGTTAGCCGAGCTCGAGTGGAGATTTCTCCCCTTTCCCGCTTCTTCTTCTTCTTCTTCTTCATCCGCGTCTTCTTCGTCTTCCCGCGTGTATATTTTTCCCTTTCTTCGTTCCTCCGCCGTCCCCGAGACGAGCCTGTATCCGCGCGCGTAACCCCAAAGCAGACGTTAGCATCACTCGTTACCCGCGCGATGCTAACCGACCAAAACGACAGGGAAACCTTTTCAGACGGCCTCTCGATCGCGGGTCTCGTCGCCGGGAGTCTGGCAATTACCGGGCTAAGGGAATTTTTCCTTTGATCGGGCGCCGATCGTCCCGAAGGCTCATTAACCCTTCGCGGTTTAATTTCGAATACGCGCGACAGACGGATGAAACCTCCACGCGGGAATCACGATCGATTCGCGGCTACGATTTGGAACATTCGTTTAAAAAGTACAGACAATGCTTGATTTTCTATCTTCTAGAACGCGTCTTTGATCAAAAATTAAACCGGTACGAAAATGGAAAATAAATCCCTTCGAATTTCTATAGTCGATGGTTTTGTCCAACTCGAAATGTACAATGGCGAACGCAAGAAAGAAAAGTGCTTTATTATCAATAAATGTCGTTATCCTAACAGTCGTGTCTCCCTATTAGGTCGGACAACGGAAGCTCTATGTAATTAGCTTGCCTTGCTGGCCAGTTTTGTCAGTCTTTCGTTTTCCGATTGCCTTTATTTACGAAGAAAGTGAACAATTTCATCACACTGAAAGCTTTCGAATGGTTTTATCAAACGAACAAAGTCAAGTCTATCGCGTTCGCTGTCGTTTCGTACACGCGAAGGATCAAACAATCTCGCGATACTAATTCTTGTTTTCAGTCTTGAAAGATTCGTATATGAGGGAGAAGAACAAATTATGATAAAACCTAAGCCAAGTATCATGTTATGCAGAATGTTAATCTTATGGGTGCGTTTTCAGTTCTACGAACTTTGCGTTTTCCAGGTCATTAGACGCATCTTACTTGTCTCTGGGTTTATTATTTGTCTTCCTCGCAAAAAGTTATTGCGATACTTCTATTAAAGTAGCCGCCAGCGTAAAACGTATTTGAACTTTAGGATTACAGAATGAAACTTGCGTACTTCGACATACTTACGCGAACTCTTAATTAAATTTCCGAGCATCGTTGTCGTCTCTGTAACTCGATTTATTTTTACAAGCATTACAAAGACGGCGGTAAACATGATTATGGGCGCGCTAACCGAGTATGTGCAAGTACGTTTAACCCTGTTTCTACTTGGTTACAACTTCGGGTCGCATTTCAAATTTCAGCAGATGTATTACGTTACACGCTTAAACGTTCGAGCTTGATATTCCAGTCAAGGCGTTTAAATTCTTATATTTTAGTTACCAAAATTTCCTAACTGGCTTAAACATCGGATGATGCGTCGAACAAGTATCGACTAACGTTTCGAAGGGTGAAAGGCTCTCGAGCAGCTCGTATCCGACAGAATTTCAATAAAACGTAGGGAAAGATAATAAAACGTGTTATCCCGTTCCAAATAATCGCCATGAATTACCGTGTTCCCGGATACACGACATCGTTTAACGCGAACAACCCCTGTAGAACGAGTAGTGGAACCTATTAAAAGGCCAGCCTCGTTATTCAACGAGCATAATTCACCGAAAAAACATCGCGTTATCGGCAATAAGTGGCCCCGGAGCCGTTCGAACGAGGCCTTTAATTGCATCGCGTTCGTTAATGAACCGGGCTGAACTTCGTTCCCCGACCGTGGCACTTTTTCTCTATTCACGTATGTTTCACCACCACCTTTGGCGTATCGATCGATCGACAGTCATTCGCGGCGGGTAACGCGTAATATCGAATCGCGCGCGACCCTGCACACCGAGAAAAGTGAGTTTATCGCGGATTTCCACGTACGCCGTAATATCCACCGCGATGTTTGCCCTCGCTCGACATGACGCGTGTACTTTTCGCGGGGGCGGAGACCCCTAAACGTTTCGGTGCACGCAGAAATGTCGAAGGTACGCGAAAACGACGATCGAATCGATTCCCATCCGACACATCGCCAAAAAAAAAAAATCATTAACGCCTCGACGGTTGATTTAAAATGGCTAGAGAATGCGTGAAAATTACTCGCGCGTTGATTACACCCGATCATTTTTAATTTCGAGTATCGCGACAAAATACAAAACGCGAATGGGGAAAAATGACCGCCACGCACGCCCAATTAAACCCGTAGTCGATCGTTTTGTTTCAATCGATGGCTCGTACGGCGAAATTAAAACTAATTGTGCGTGTATTTGACAGTTACGATGTCCACGGTATAAATCAGCGCTGTTTATAAATTCATTACAAGCTCTCGAAAAAATTGCCGTTTCGACAAGCGTATATTGTTTCTTGTTTCCCTTGGCTCGCCGGTGAAAACTTAAAAAAAACACGCCGAATCCGTTGATTCGGATAACGAGAAAGGGCTCAATCAATGCCGCCAGTCGAGCAGAAGTTTCGAAGCACATCGTTCGTAACGATTTCTAGCTCGCGGGGTATCAAAGACAATTACTCGGAATATTTTCCTCGACGGTGTTTCGAGAGTTTACAATAAATTTGGGAAAATGTAATTTCACACGGACCGCGTGGTACCTAGATTTTATGGCGTCGAACGATCGTTCGAATCGTCTTGCGAAAAATCGTAGGAGGCGCGACGCACGAACAACGAGCTATAAATGTCCGCCGTGCAAATAACAGCCGATACGCATCGGAGGGAAATAACAATACGCGTGTTTTCGAATCGTCGACGGTGCTTTCTTCGCCGTCGGCGACTCGCGGCGTCGTTTTTTCCAACGGAAACGCGATAATAATTGACAGACCGTTCGGCGATTCGACCGCGGCCAGAGCAAACATTTAATTGAAATCGAACGTATCCAGGGGCGTGCGACGAGCCGCCGACCGTACAGAATTGCACGTTTTCCTTGCCCGGGCGAATATCCCGCGGCGTTCCGAGTGCTCGTTTCCTCTATTTTTCTATTTTTCTATTTTTTTTTTTTTCTTTCCCCCGGTCCCCCCCGTTGGCCGTTTGTTATTGAAAAAATTTAATAACCGCGGATACAGCGTCTTCGACCGGGGGGAAACAGCTGATGGGAAAAAAACAAGAAATCGGATAGAGGACCCGGGGAAGCGACTCGATTTTTCGATCCCACGGCGAAAACTCCGAGCGTCGAGGAAACGCCACGAGCGTCTAGCGGTTTTCCAATTACGGAATCACGCACTCAGGGGTAGGGAGGGGGGAGGAAAACCGGGGCATAGGAAACGAGACGACCGAGCCTCGATGGAGACCCACCAGGTTCGAAAGCCGGGTAGACTGGAATCACCGGGGCCGCCGCCATCTGACGCTCTTATCGGAAAGTAGCTCATAAATATTCAACGGTCCTCGCGAGAAATTTGTAAATATCGTATCGGAGTGTAATAACTTTTCGTTCGAGAGCCAACCGTTGGAAGAGGAAACGTTCCCCCGCCCCACGGGACGTCGCGGAGCTTTTATTCCTTCGATATTCTTATTAACACCGTCGCTTTTATAGCGAAATCTTACGCGTCCCGTATTAAAACTTTATTAACCGGGTTAAAAGCGACGCTTCAAACGAACGCGCAACGAGCCCGTAGCTAAAGGACCCGGACTCCGCCTTCTCCTTTTCCGAAGCGTTATTATAAATGCAAAATAAAGGAGACACGAACCCTGATTGGCGTGCAAGCTGATTGCACCGGCGTTAAACTGCAGGACGAACAGAACTACCCCTTCGTGGGAGGAGGAAGTTCAATATTTCTTTAGAGATGTTAATGCTCCAACTAGATATTATTAACCGTTTCTTTGTTCGGTAAAAATATGTGCCGTGCAAGACACTGTTAGAATTTGGGAAAATAAATTTTTCAGAGCCTGCATTGTATCAGACGAACAGTTTCGGTCAGGAAAATATTATGATACATTCGTGTATCGTCGAGCAAAAAAATTGGCTATACAAGGAAATCTCTGCTTCGCCATATCGGATAACATACGGTCGCATGAAATAATATGTGGCCGTATCGAATAACGCACGTGCCATATCAGCTCGTACGCGTCCACATAAGATGGTACATGCCCTTATCAGGTTCCGGACGACAGCATACTATTTTCCGAAATGTATTCCGAAGCAAGCACAAAATTCAAGGAAACTTGCAATTTTTGCTCGAATGACAGGCTACAGATTAAGTAATCGTGTCCGAGCATTAAACACTGTGAAAATACTCGTTGACGAGGGTTCCTTCGATATTGCGCAACCTTTGCTCGACGAGCAAGAAAACGTGGAGTTATACCATAAAGAAAAATCTATTTTCCATGCTGGAACAGCGAAGACTTTAAGGAAGAAGCTGAGAAAAAAATTTTCTAAGCCTCCGAGGGGAATTTTCACGATGAAAAGACAACGTTGTCATTGTTTCAGCGGTGGACCTTAAGTGGTGACCCCCGCAGACACCCAGTCCGAGCGTTAATTACCTTCGAGGGCGGAATAAGCGTGCTTCGATCGCGTTATGAATTTTGAACGAAACTGGAAACGTGTTATCTTATCCGCGGGGAATACGCCAAGTGGATTTTAATGCACTCACCAGTCAATTGAAGCCTCCCAACGTTGCTGCTGACGACCGTATCCTGCGTCAGACGATGATGCGTCCTGCACCGATAAGTTTGGTCCGCGTCCTCCCGCGTGATATTCAGTATCATCAGCTCGCCGCTCGAAAGCATGTGATACTTCCCATCTGAAAACAGACGTCGAGCGTCAATCGTACTGGAGCACAATCGGAAAATTCTGCGCCTCCGATACTGCTAACCACGAGGGAATAAATTGGCGATCTTGAAAATTTTTTGGATTATATATCTACAAAATGAATTATTTCAGAACGAAGATTTCAAGATTGAGCGAACCGTTGGAATTAAATGCGACTAAATCGATTTGCGTTTAAACGGATAAAGCGCAGCGACACCGAAGTATCTCGAGTTTTCAATTTTGTATTCGAACGAGAACGAGTATAATTAGGAGAAAATGATGAAATTATTACGTAATTTGATCGCCTCGAATATTACATTTACAGAGGGTCCGTTGTCAATTTGAATAGCTTAATTGGTAGCGCGGTCGATTTGCAATGGATCCATATTCGAATCGCCGTGCTGTATGAATTCCGGGGCTCGAATTGCGATAATAAATATTCAAACGGCCGGGGCGAATTCGTTCGTGCCTCCGTGCATGGAACGGGAAAAGTTTGGCCCAGCTATCGACCGTCTTACCCCGATCGACGAGTGTATTAACAAATCCGTCGGGATTATTAGTGGGCATATTCAAACCGGCTTCGCGATGCATACCTTAATCGAACTCCTCTATAATTAATGAAGTTTGCCTCGTTAATGGTTTCACGGCGCCGCCAGGTGAAAACTTTGCCTATTGCACAGTGACGGACGAGCCTGCAGTGCGCCTAACGGCGAACTATAACAATACGTTCGGTCCAACGATAGTCTCGATCGTTTGCAAATACTTTCGTATCGATTCTACCCTCGAGAGCGTAATATTCCATTTTCTGGGAAGGCAGTACACATAGTAAATACATTCTTTCTTCGAGATTTCAATGAAACTCTGTACGATTGTAGGGCAACCAAAAATATTGGAAACGTATTTTTTTATCGACCAAGGGAGGAAAGTTGCCCTTAAAGTTAAACAGGCTGCAATAAACTGCACTTGCTGAAGTACCATCAAAGAAACGTGGTCCAGTAATTACATTATCGATGATGTCACACGAAAGTTTAGAGACTATCGATACTCAAACGCTACTGTTCTCACCCAAGGAGAATTTCCAAGGGGCCAATAATGTGAATTATGTCTATTAACGCGGCCAGCGTTGGCAATTGCCGTAAACTTGGAATATTACAGCGATTATACTTCGTATCGCCGCGTTCAATTTTCTCTTGCATTCGTTACGATTTTGTAACAGTGTCTCATCCGTTTGCAAATAGTCCCTAGTGATATAGAATAAAATTTTGCCACGCGAGGCTTTGATTCCGTGAAAATCCAAGTGGAACGGTCGAAACAAGTAGAAACATCGAGCAATGGTCAGACGCGCCGTGCAAATCATTCTACGAAACATTTTCCACTACATTCTCGACTTATTTTCACATACTATAGCCTTCGTCGACGCCTCCCACACAAATGTACAAAGTTTCGGAACAAAATTCATTAAAAAATATTGAAATTTTAATCGTTATCGTATATTTTATTCCTCGGTTCTCCGCGACCCCTGCAAAGCGTCGTTCGATCATGAATTTTACACAAAAAAATTGTCGAAGGAGGCGTTCGACGAGTCCGGGCGAAATTCCGCGCGATCGAAATGGAGTCCGCCGCGCGGAAATCGAGAGACTCCACCGGTAATCTGCGCAAGACGTAAGTATCTCGACCTCGTTCCGATCCACTCGATTATTTCCACGAGCCGCGATATCACCCGGGGACGATCCTCGAAACCGACTGCAGCGAACGTTCTCAATGAAAATCTCCCCCGCGGACGCGATCCTCGCCGCGAGATCCTCTCTCTCTCCCGGCGATCGCGGAACGGGGTAAATAAATTTCAAGGATCCGCGACGGAAACGGTTCGTTCGCCGCGGGCGCGACGAGGATCGCGTTGCTCATTCTTATTTATGAGCGACGTCGTTGCAGGCCGTCATTAAGCGATCTGTATATATATAGAAACTCTTCGCTCACCTCCCATCGTGGACGGATAGATGTTGAACGACGGCTCCTGAAGCCAAGACGTGATGGTGACGTGGTCGCGAACGAAACTGGGAACGTTGCATCTCATAAGTACGTTGTTTCCAGGGAAACCGCCGGGACATTGCACTTCCGGATCGTAACGCTGGTTCACCACTGAAACACACAAACGACCAGCCGCTAGAATGCTAGGCTGAAACCGCACCGCGTCACGAGCTCCCTGGTCCGGGGGAAAAAACTGCGGTTCGGGAAAGTTCGTATGCTAATGACCAAGGAGGAAATTTGTTCTCGCGGATTTTGGAAAAACGAACGATCGTTGGGGCGACCAAAGTCCGACAAGTACGATCCTCGATGCTCGCATACGAGAGTTGCGTAAATTATGTGTAAATTAAAAATATTTAATAGTACCGAGACATGGAGTTTTCGGTACGATCTTGAAGGAAAGCGAGAAACGATATTCCAAATAAAATTTCACAAATGGACACGGAATACACACAGGAGGAATCGACCACTCTATTTTTCTATATTCCGGAGACTAAATAAATGGTTTACGAGGACGCGTGGCAACTTTGATTGTACTTAATTCTTCTCCGTGAATAAGCGGCCGCGATGGTATTATCGTTAATACGGCATGTAACGTGCGCGATGGCAACAGATATCGGATCAGCGGGTAAATACATATTACGTACCGCGTTACGTACACGCGTAATCGTATAAAGATCGGCTTACAAACCGAACAACCGAATATATACCTCAGAGACGGATAATTTCCCCTTTTGTGCCTCCCGCGAGTTCTATCAGTCCGTAAAGTTGCCCGCCATTATGGACATTACCGTACAGAAATTTCAATAGGCTTCCCCTCGGATAAGGATTTATGACTGCTCGAAATTAATTGCCGCCCGTTTTGTTCCAATATTATTCGAAGCCGGCAGCGATACGCGGTTATTAATAACCTAACCTCGGTAAACGTAACAACGTTAAACGTTGCATCGTTGCCGAAACCTGGACACGATTTCTGCTGTAACGAGACGCGGAACGTTGTTCGTCCCTTTGGAAATAAAGACGCTCGAAACACACGGATTTGGATCCGCGGCGGCGCGGTTTTAGCGACGAAGACTAAATTATTTCGTCGAATCGATACGGTCCGTTCTCCGGTTGCAGATATACCCGGGACACGTAAGAATGTTGACCTCCGACGTGCATTCTTCCCAGTAAACAGCTCTATAAATTCCTAATCGTTCCTCGATCGATACAATTATCATAACGCGATGTTGAGCAACCAACCGGAGCGTATGTGCCACTCCGTTCGATCAAACGCGCGATATGGTCGCGGAACGTGTCTCGAATACAATTTTCCACCCAAGTTACGTATTCACCCACCTCGAGAAACATCTTTTCTTTCTGAATTAACGTACGGTTTTACTGTACTTACTATTTCGTGCGAATGGAAATAGGAATCGAGCCTTCTCCAACAGAGAATGATTTCGTAAACGTTAATTTCAGATTTACCCAGGACCCGTACGAAAAAATATTTTTCCCCCGTGCACGGCCGCCGGTTTCGATAAAAATTCTCGACAAAAACAAAAACATTCATACGCTCCGCGAACAATGTATATTCATGCAAGCAGAAATTCCGCAGCAATAGATTTTTGAAGGACCATGAATATTTCGCGACTCCAGCGAGGCGTGTGCCCTTAATTCCGGGGGGTCGATTCGACGCGATCGCGTCCCCGGAATTCTTTCCCGAAGGCAGTCGCCGGGATTTAATTGTCTCCGTGCTCGGAAGGGCGAAAAAAAAAGCTGTTAAGTGGCGCGGCGAGGGTGTAAGGCGAGATGGAGGGCGGCACCGCGGGATTAAATCCGGCCTCGCGACTATAACTACAAGATGTTGATACCGTCTCCGACGGAATCGACTTTCACGACGGCTGGTGAATCCTGGAATAAAACCAGGAGTCCAAACGAGGCGAGAATGGAGCCCTTAATTAAAAAAATCTCGATAACCGGCGAACCTACACTTTGAAAAGGCCATAATGGAAATTGAAGGCGGAACGCATCCGCTGTTTACAAGGGAAAAGGCTAAAGCTAGCGAAACATCGACGAGAACGGATCTCTGACTGTCGAAGCAGTAGGTTTTAGAAAATGCTGTTAGCAAAAGAGTATGGAAGTACGGTGACATCGTTTTGATCGTAGATTTCCGAGGCTGGAAGCCTATAACCTCCTGATACGAGGCTCGTGGACGGGATTAGCGTTTCCATCCCTTGGCGACGCCACCCCTGGGGGATTATTAGACCCGGAATATGCCAGACCTCTCATCTTTTTCGGGTCGCGGAAGATCAGGTGCTCGTGGACTCTTCTTGACTCGATATTTGATAGTATGGACGTTTTCTCCAGGGTATTTCTCCCAGACTCTTTGGGCATTGTTTAGACAATGCATCCTAGATCTTATAGCGGTGGTTCGAATATGATTCACGTTCGGAATATTTACAACGAAGCGACAAAATAAAAATCTTTGGCAGGCCTGCTCAGTAAATTTCCAATAGTCTCGGGGAACGCGTCGAACCTTAATTTCACCCCCAATGGCGTGGACGAAAGACACACCCCGATCGCGAGGTTCGATTTCGTCTGTCGATCGATGGTTCCGCCGGCACGATCCCGTCGCGTTAATCGACGCGAGAGAAATCTGCGAGCCGACAGGGTGTCTCGATGATACGGGGGATTGGGAGCCCTTAAAAGGGTCGCGGTATCTTATCCAAAATCTCGAGGTTGTCCCGATCCGGCCGTGAACTAGCGTTTCGCGTAAGTTGATGGTCTCGACTGAAAGGTTGGCGAGAGAGCAGGCCTGAAAGTGGGTGGGCGGCGAGGATGCAGAACGAGAAACCGTGGTGGGTAAAGAGAGAGGACCGGGCGTAGGGGTTGGTCGGACGGAGGGTGGTTGCGGGCGCGAGTAAAGGAAAATGTGGTGGTGTGTAGGGCCCGGCTCTGCAACCCGTTTCGAGAGTCAGCGGAGCGAGGCACTCAGACTCCAGAATGGGGTAAAAACTCGGTGAGTTCGCCTCTGCTTCCCACCCCCCCGTTTGCCCCTCCTTCCGTCCGTTTCCAGCCTTGCTACCACCCCGTATCACACGGCTCTCGGTTACGCGGCAACCAAGCCAAGCATAAACTCGGCAGACGTATCGCGGCAGGTAATATTTACAAACCATGAAACCTACGGGAAGAGATGAAGCCACGAGACTCGTCCCCATCCGTCCCGTGCCTCTGACCCGTCCTATCCCTCGGCCACCTACCCAGGGGCAGGGGAAAAGAGACCTCGCGTCCTCGAAATCCACCGTGCATTTTTTCGGCGACTCGAATTTTACGCGGGCACGAACCCCCTCCGGAAACTCGACGCTTCGCTTTAACCGTACAACGATCCTCGAAAATGTTAGAAGCCCGCGCACGGTTCATTCGTTGAATCTAGCAATATTATTTATTTTTTCAAGAAAAAAAATAAAAGTCATTCGTAAGTGGTTCGATCGTCCAAACTCAATCTCATCGAGTACACGATTTTTGAGCTTCCATATCATTTCGACATTATTTTGTCTTCGTCCGAAAAAATAACAGCTGACGGTCGAGCGTCGAAAACGCAACAATATCGAGCTTGTTTCCGCGACCCAGCGCGAGACACTTCACCCACGGCGGATAATTATTCCCGCGAAACTTTCCGAGGGGCGGGGGAGGATTTCGTTTTTAGAAAAAAAAACGAAAGCTTCAAGAACACTTTGCCGACGCTGGGGCGGCGAAACGAAACGAAACCGTTCGCGCCAGCGATTCGCGAAACCCGTCGTTCAATGGACAATGGAGAACCCCGAAAGGGTTTTAGACCAGCGCAGGACGACGGAGTTGCTTTTAATTAAAAATAATTGTTCCCCGGGCGACCTGGGGGTAACGGCGAAAAATCACCGTCCCCCTCCGAGAACTCGCCGAGAACAATTTCATTTTTCGCCGGGGCGGTATCCTACGAGGGGAAACACACCGCGGTTATGATAATAAGATTACTTTAAGCGTCTTATGCGCCCGCGCGTACGGCCCCCAAGCGCGGAAATTCCGCAGACGCTTTACGTCCGACCTACGAAGTATTTGCGGACCGATAAAACACTACCGCCGTTTCCGGTTTCCACGGAATCTCGTTTCACCGCCGGCCGTGGCCATGTATATTCAAGCGATTCGATCTCGACGATGACGGTCCCGCGCCTCGGGAAATAATTATTTCAATTGCCAATCGCGACGCGGTTGTTGTTGTATCAACGGGAGCTTCTCGATAATTGCGTAATTGATGTCGCCGCGTCTTTTATCGCTTCTTCCCGCGGCACATGCCTCTCCATCGAATCGTTGATAGCAGAAACGTTCTAGTTTTAAGCTCGCGATTGTCCTTTCGGTGGAGATTGTAAAATATCAAGAAACTTTCTTCGCAGAGTGGTCCAGCGGCGCTATTCTTAATAGAAATTGATGGGTCGTGAGCCCAAACACGGCCACCAAAGAGTCTAATTTACGAAACTATTTCCCCGAAACTAAGAGACTCTCTCGAAATGTTCGCGGCCCTCGCACTCGGGACGAAACGCATCAGGCTCGTAGTCGCAGAAATTAGGATAACGCTCCAAACTTCGTAATTGATAAATTTCCGTCGCCACCCGCGGTGTGAGTTTGTAATCTTGGATGTCTCCGAGCTCCAAAGAACAGGACGAACTGGACAGCTCGGAGCGAATATCCATGAAAAATCTGATCCCTTTTCGCTTCGAGTCCAAACGCGTGTTTCTCGGCGTTTGCCTCGAGAACAAGCCGTATTAACGGCCGCGTAGGGTTCGGATCGCGATATTCTAAAGAAGAAATGTTGCCAGTCGGCCGCGCGGAGACCGCTGAAAGGACCGCGCACGAACAAAGGAAGTTTCAGCGACGCGCGAAAACATCGCGAGACGCTGCGCGTTGTTCGCGCGGAACCGCTCGGGGCGGTCGTTAAGATTTCTCGTTGCGGCCGGCACGAAATTAATCCGGAACAACGAAATTTACCGGGAAGAATAAACTCCCGGGCGTACATTGTGCCCGTGGAAACGATAGAGAACGAAGAACCGTCTTGGCGAGATCGATCGGGTTGGAAAGCGTTTCGTCTCAGCCGCGAAAACGAACAATGCGGCGTGCCGGTGTTTTTTGCGCAAACGTCGTTAAACCACCGGGGTTTCTTCGAGACGTATTCTCGCGGCACGAATTCCCGCGGAGTATTAAGCGGGCATCTTGACGAGAGACGGTCCCGTTCGTTCCAAGTCGACTTTTTTTTTCACCGTCGCCGATATTCCATCTGCCTCCGGTCGCGTCGGTCTCGTTTCTCGTCCTCCTTTCGTCCCCTTGAATTTCATCCCGGACCCGGCCACCAAAGAAACTATCATTGTTCCGACGAAACAACACGACCGTATCTCGATGGCAAGAAGGATTAAGAACGCTGCCTCCGAGCCAGCGCAAAGGATGCAGAAGTAATTTTTATTGTAGTTTATTACCGAGGCCCGGGCTCCTCCCGGGACGCAATTTCCTCCTTCGAGGATCTTAATTAACTTCTTTGGTCGTCGGGCTGGGACATCTTTAAACAATTTGTTCCGCGGTCTTTAGTCGCGTCTTCGCGAGGGGGGTTCGAAAAATGACCGGCACTTGGGAATTTTTGTTCCGGAAAAGCTCGCTACTTCCGTAGTTAGAACCCTCTGGCGTCCTCAGAATTTTTTAGCAACGTAAACTACTCGTAGGAACTAACATTTACGTAGGAAACTAGGGAACAAACGCCGTGAGGCTTAATTAAAGAGCTTTATTTTAGCGTAAATATGTTTCTTTCTTTGAATTATAACGTACCGATATATTGCAAAAAAAATGTTTAATATTCGCCGTGTGTCGCGAGACACCAGCTGCCCGTAGTTTGAACAAACACGAGGAAAAACAACGTTGAATCTTCCGACGAGACTTATGTACGACATTTCGTCCGCGTAGCTGCACATTTTTTTAATATTTTTAAAGCGCGTTACACTGAAATTGCGCCCGGTAGAATGAAAATTTGTTGCATTTCTTCGTCCGTGCAGTAACGCAAACGCGGAACTCGCGCACCGTGCAAATCACAGGTCGTGTATAATAACAGCATGAAAATTACGCAGGGAACGAAGTTGTTTTACAAAATGCGAGCATAAAGTATTGTATTCGAACTAGAACAATTAGGTTCACCTTCGTTTGAAGCTGCCCTGCAACGGGTCCAAAGGGAAAATATCACTTTCGTTCCGTAGAATTTTCCGTCGGAAAAGCGGAAAAAAACGTCACTCCCTTGTACTATTTTTTAAACTCCTGGTTTCGACGTTGCTTCAATCAAAACGGCTCGTATAATTTAAGCTTTTCAAAGATATCAACGCATACATGCTCGTTCAGCTTTCACGTTATTTTAAATACTACAACCTTACAAGAGACTCGTTGATTAAACCTTCGGGTGGTGTGGGTGGGTTTGTATTCAAATTAAAATACACGATTTCCCCAACAGCGAACAATCCATTTCACTGCATTCTTTTCGAACGTAACTAAATATTCGGTGAAAAGTTAATTTAATGTAAAAATTGCTAAATCTTCCACGTTTGAATATTGCAACCTTGCTAGGAACCGCTGAAATTCTGTGCAGACGTAGACGATTAAATTTTCAGAGGTAACGCGGCCGATTATCGGCTTGGATTTTTGTTTACTTTCCGCAAAATAATTCGTCCCCGGAGAGACTGTCCCGGATCAACGATGCGTTGCCTTCTCCCCTGTACTCGTGCACACATCGCTTCCGCTCCGACGAATCGAGGGAGTCAAACACTTTCCGAAAAGACCTATACCATTCAAATTTAATACCCTGCTTAACTACCCTCATCATTCCCCAACCTCTGTTATACTTGAAGCGCTCGCAAAGAGGTAATCGTTAAACACGGCCTCCCTTCCGACGCGTTCCCCTTTATCAGCCCAGTTACCCTTATTTCCTGCGGGATTCGGTGCGACGCGAATCCTACGTGGATGCGGAAGCCACGGTCGAACGAGCCCGGCTCGTTTCGCGACGCGTCCTCGACGAACGGACGAGTACCGTACGTGTCCTCGATCGACGATCGAGATCGCTGGCGCGGAGGAATCGGAGCAGCGGAAACCGACGTTGTTGTTATTCGAATCGCGCGTATCCGGCGCGCAGTCAGCAAACCGGGGCTCGCCAAATGCATACGTAAGCCTAGGCGCGAGCACGCGCGCCTAATCATATCCACTTTGCTCCGAGGGATGCATCCTTCCGAAGGAGACGCTCTCCTCGCGAAAGAACCGAATCAGCGAACCCTGGAGACACGGAAAAAGGAGACCGCGCAGGTGGCTGACGCCGCAGAGGCGCCGGAAGTCTGCTAGGAATCAATTCGAATTCAAAGTTTACTTAGGAAGATATTAATCAGCAACGATGCTAGTTTAATAAATACACCACTGAAAGTGTTGACATGAAATTTATCACAGCACGAGGGGTTATTTACACGTAGGATTTTCGTTGTCGATGGCGTAGCGTGGAAGACGTAAGAGCAGCGTTTGTTCTCAGGTCGACGGAAACCATCTGCGCCGCACACGTACGCACACGAGCATAATCGTATCCATTTTGCCGGTAAAAATGCCACGCATCCGTTCGGGGGAGGCACTTTTCTCGCCTCCGGGGTAGAAAAGACGGAATCAGCAAAGTTAGGGTCGATTCGGAGACGAGGCGCGAGCAGAAGGGAAGAGGAAAAAGGAGACCGCGAGACTGGGAGACAGTGGAGGCAGAGACCAGCGGCTGACGCGGCAAAGGTAGCCGGCATGAATCTGAAAAGGTACGAGCCGCGTTCACGCGACGATGATTTACGGGCATATTAGGTCGATAAGATATCTTCCGGTTCGTTGACCCGGAGGAAGCTCTATTTTTAAGGCGCCTCCGCCTCCGTCTATCTTCCCCCTCGTCCTCCGCGTCGACCGTACCAGCGCCATGGATCTTGTCGGGGAGACCGGGTTTTGAGGAACGTCCGATAAAACAGCTAGAAGAAACAACGCGACCGTGAATGCTCGCGTTGCCAGCGAGCCAGACGAGCTTATCCGTGACGGGAACGACGACGTCGTTGAAAACGAAGCCCCAGATAAGGCGACGTTTCTCCTTTTGTGGCCTCTGTTCGACGAAAGGGATTTGAATAATTCCAGCGATCGATCCCGCGGTGGGCGCGGAAAGAGCAAGACAGCCTCGCGACAGGAAAGAAAGCGCGCTCCTCTGTTTCCGGCCATTCACGGATCCGACTGACAAACTATCGACAAACTATGAATTACATGCCGCCTCGTCTGCATCGTGAACGCGTCAGCCCGGAAATAGAGGGCGCCCAGGTGCGCCGGGGACCACCCCCCAGGCGCTAGGCAAATCACAGACTCGATGGGAATAAATATTTCATATCGGCGAAGACGTACTGCCGCGCTCCGTCGATCGGAAACGGATGAATTATTCCGTCTAAGAAGAAAGCGCTGCTAGACCACGAACACCGACGACCCGTGGTTAATGGAAAAAAGACCAAGCCGGGTGCTCGACTAAAAATACCTTAAAAATATGCTCCGCTCCGAAAGATACAATTTCACCAGGGATGAACGTTTCGTGATTAATTTTGTCTTTCCATTACTCCGCCGCGCGATGTTTGTTTTTGCGGGGCTACCATTGTTCGCGAAGTATTTGTTTTCGAAGTTGGGTGGTATTTCGCGTGGCCGGGATTAATGTCGTCGGGAACCTCAAAGAATCTCTCCCCCGACGGATGAGATGCATCTTCTCCGGAGCCGTCAAACTTGTTCACCCTAGACGTGGCCGATGCTCGAACGCGTCTCGGGGCGAAACGAGATGCAAACGAGGTATCCGACGAAGTGACAAACATTTCCATACCGACGGACGCGCGCGATAAATCAGAATCCCGCGCATTGTTCCGCCGGAAGAGCAGATTTCTTTCCTGGTCTAGCAATCAGGGCGATTCAAAGCCCATGATTTGTAATCCGTCGTATTGAATTTTAAAGATCTTAACGTTAAGAATCGCTGACATGTTACGATAACTTTGATTCGAATTTGAAAGACTTCGGTTTCAAAATGGTGGGATCGAATACCTCCCTTCGTAGAGTATCGCGCGTTCCGAATTCGCGGTCCAGTTTGGAGAACAAAGATGGACGACAGAAGGAGGACGCCGGGGCAGGAGATAGGGAGACAGGGTGCAGCAGGAAGACAACATAATGCAGATAACGAGCAAGAAAGTTTCATACCTGCTCTGACAGTGACGTCTCTGCTAACGATGGCGCCGACGCTGTTGACGGCGGAACACTTATAAATGGCCCAGTGGACGTCCTGCCGGAACACCTCCGCCTCGAAACCAGGAAAGTGGATCGTCCCGTTGCCAAGGACGTGTCTGATTCCGGGGATACTCGTTATGCTGCCACCGTCCGCTGTCAGCCAGTCGACGGTGGCCGCCGGATTTCCTCTGACTATGCAGTCCACGCGGCCGCCATTCACGTTCGTGAACTCGACCCGCGATGGCGGCTCCGACACGAACGTTGGACCCTGCATCTCGTACGAAGCGCCGTTGCCTGCAACAACGAGGGACAGATATCGGTCATAATGGGCCCGTGGGTACTCGTTACCGGGGCACTTGGGATTCGCGCGTCCCGCCATTGTAATACGGCTGTTATTTATCACGCCATCGCCGCATCGTGCCTTTAATGGCGGCGATCCCGGAGCTTTCCTGCACCTTGTACCGGGGATAACGGAACGATTGTTAATTTGCTCCGACCGCGTGCGTTGCGGGAAACTACAGTCGCTGCCAACGCTATATTATACGACTCTTGAAACTCTGATGTCCGGAAAAGAACGCTTTAATCAAATGAAACTGCATAGATAGTACGTGAAACTCGAGCAGATGTCAATTTTGTGTGTCCTTAAATTTGAGCTATTCCAAGTCTAACATTGTTCTGTTCGTTAACGCGTGAACCTCTTCACCTGGTCGTGTTTGAATAATCCCCACACGCAGAATTCCTACGACTACGAGGGTGCAGAGGGTGCCAGGTTTCCGTAAGCAACGAGGGTGTTTTTCTCTATTTTGGGACGATTCTCGAGCGTCACCAGGGAATATGTCTACGTTCAACGAGACGAGTCCGGGGGAAAAATAAGCAAAACGTTCGCGCGAACGTGGCTGCCAAACATCGATTCCGAGAGACGAATTTCTAGCAGACCCTTATCGATGCCCTTTGCACTCGAGGCCAGAATCTACTATTTAACAGTAAACCTACCGCGACAGAGACGAAAGGATAGCATCTTCAGTTTCCACTGTCTTAAAACAGTCTAACAACGCGTATTAAAAATAGTTGAACTTTAGACGCGTGTAGTTCCAAAACTACTAGTGCTTTATCCATTATTGAGCCGCCGTTAGAAGCGGTGAACCTTCCCCTTTAAAATGGCTTTTGGTTTTTGTCGATCGGACTTACCGTTCCGGAGATATCGTAATTTATGTAAAAGGTAATTTCTTTAATTCGCGCTCCGTCTTGGAAAGGCCTATTAACGCGTATTAAAAATAATAAGATTTTGGATGCGTGCAGTTCTGAAACTACTAGTGTTTTATCTATTATTATACCATTGTTAGCGGCAGCAAGCCTTCCTCTTTAGAATGGCTTTTGGTTTTTGTCGATCGGACTTACCGTTTCGGAGATGTCGTAATTTATGTAAAAGGTAATTTTTCTTAATTCGACTCTCTCTGTCTTCGTCTGACGCGTCGCGCCGGACCTCTCTTTCTCGCACGTGACTCGTGACCGAATGGCCGAGTGACCTAGTTCCCACGCGTCACGTGCCGGTCAACGACCTTGACAAGGCCGTAATAAGAATGTAAACAAACGCTTCGGCCCCTCGTATCACCGGAACTAGCCACCGCATCGACTTGAAATTAAAATCGCTATATCTCCGGAACTAATATAGCTATCCACTCGTACAAACGCTCATTTTAAAGGGCATTTCATCCTCTATTCAATGACTATACCAGCTTCCATAATTTTTGCTGCCTTCTATGTTTGTTTTCACATTTACTTTGACACTATGGATCAAACGAAGTTTTAGCAATTCCTATTGATTATACGACTGGTATGCGATAAATCTGGATTAAAAATTGTTTATTTAATTGAAAATGAACTTAAATTTGTATACAGGGTATTTGCATAATTACTATGCCATTTTTTCGTAAATAATTGTTTTCACTGGAATTAACAAAGATTGGTCATTTGACCAGTCATGGTAGGAATGGGTCTATATGTATACATGAAGTGCCGGTAGGTTTAGAGTTAATGTACGATTTCCGACTGTTTCCATATATTGTTACAGAACCTCCAGAAAACCTCTCGAAACGCGATTTCCATTGTTTCGAGGCTGCGAATTTGACGTTCGTGCGCAACAATTCAGCAACTCGCAACACATCGACAAAGACGCGGACGGAAACGCGACCATCCCTTCATTAGTGTAGCTGGCGGTCTCGCAGTTAATCCGATTAAAGACCTGTGGGGATTAATTCTGCGGACAATACACTACAATGGATACCGATATTCGTCGATAGAGATTTTCTCGAACTTTGCTCGCGAGCTACGAAAAACGGACCATTCGTTTTTCGAACTTTATCAAGTTAAATAAAATAACCATAAAAATCGTTGCACCGAGATGAAAGTTGGAACGAGGCGTCGATGACGTCTAATGAAACGCAATGAACGACCAGGGGCCCCGTAAATCCCGGCTCCCAATCGAGCGTTTCCGGTCGCGCGGGCGGGTAAAATAAATTTTCCTTACTGTTTCAATCGGCAGTTAGAAGGACATTAATCATGGTCGCAGCGCGCGGACACCGGTTGATGAATTTTTTTCTCGCCCGGCTCGGCCCCGGGTCCAAAGTAATTTTCCGAAATAGGACCGTGATGGGCGCGCAAGGTTGACGCAGCACGAACGGCCAAGAGGGGGTTGGGGGTGGGGGGCTGCGGGTGTATCGTCGACGGGACATGAACGAAGATAATACGGACGGCCATAAATCACACATTTAACGCTGAAATTCGGCCGTAATAGCTTCCATAAATGGAGCGCATTGCGTCCCCCTCCGCGGTGCCTGTTAACCATTCATCACTCGAGTTATGTTGATTTAAGTAGGAATGCCGGTCCGCTCGGATGTATTCCGCATTCCGTCCAACATTGCCCATCTGGAAGCCGGCCCAACGAAGCGCACAGAATACCCCGGAGGAACGTGCAACGAATATGGCGCAGCCACTTCTCCGCGTGTGGCCGCTAACATTTTAGTTAATAATGTCTGATGGACGCCCGCTCGCGCACCCTGGAACTTCTGGGGCGGAAAAAGCCGCCAAAGCCGCCGCCGCCGCCTCCTCCGTCGCTGGGAACCCGAGAAATCGTTTCGATCGGCGCCCCGGACTACGTGCACGCGCGTTTAATGTTAAAATCGCCTCCGCCATCGCGGGGAAACTAGGTTCCTCTAGAGAGAGAAATTCCCAAGGAATCCTCGGCCGGAACAGATTTACAGAAACGTGGCAAAAATTCGAATAAACTATTTATCGGTATTCCGAGCGCCGACGTAATTAATGGCAACGAACAGAGATATTTAGCGACGGCGAAATTGGAAATTCAGCCCGACGAAACGATACTCTTTGAGAAGCAACCTGACCTCCGAGAGGCAACCGTTGATAGAGTAATTTACTTACGGCGGAGTCTGACGGAATAACAGATTCTTATTTGTAGCTGTTCCTCGGCGTTGCCCGAATTAAATTTAAGCGCAAACTTTTGGAATCTTCGTTTTTGATTTCCCTGGGCTTCTCGGATAATTGGCCGACAGGGAAGAGATAATAACAAGATCTCGTGCTCGCGTTGCACAACAGGAAGATAGTTAAATCGTCTTTAACGAGCCAGTTTATTTCGTACATTTAATTTTAGAATTTAGCGAGTATCGATACTTTATGAACAGACGGATGAAATAGCGAATAATCTTGGACGCAAGATGGCTGCCTTTTGACAATAGAAAGTTACGACGAACCGTAGTTAAACTTTTCAGCGTCTCTGTGTTAATTCACTGTACACTTCGTCTTAATCGCCCTCTTCGCGCTTTGTCGCGCCGAGGAAAGGCCGACAGTAATAATGACTTCTAAAATCGACGATGCTGACGAAGCTGCATTGTCTTAAATATTTAATACTGCTGCGGACTAGAAACTGATTCGACCAAGTACTCTCAGGGATTGAGTAACGCGTATACCTCATCCAATCGCAACAACCTGAACTTTCACGAACTAAGCAAGCACTATTCAACACGAGTACTTAATATCCATGGCCACTTGCTGCTATTCATAAGGGGGCAACTCCCCTTCTCAAAGTAAACTGTGTACTAAAGGAGACGAAATACAATCGCCTATTGACAGGTACTTGTTTCAGATGACTGCATTGTAAATGAGCATAAACAAGGACCGCTGTCGATGATCGTTACAATGTAAAATCTTGCCAGATGGATGCATTCGTTAATCCTTAAGCGAACGTTCTATTATTAAAAGTGAAAAGCGACTACCTATCGAACTACAATTTAAATTCGATAATTTTTCCTTCGCCAACTATAAATTAGGACGTTCGATTACCCTGAACCCTACCCTGTTTGTCTTCCAATTTTTCCCCATCCTCTCGACTTCACGCTTGACTTTCCATTTACATAAATTTTCTTATATACGCCCTCACCTTTCTCTTCGGCCCCTCCTACGAATTCTCCGAGTAAACCTGACCAACCACACCCAATTCTTTTCTTCGTGATTTCGATTCTGCGTTGTTCAAAGCTATTCGTCTCTACTGAAAACTAAACTGATCGAATATTACTGTGGTTATTAACTCAGTCGCGATTGTAGAACCTCCAAATGATTGAGATATTTTCACGTTTTCGGGGTAAAAAGATTTCGAGATCGGGGGAGCGGAGAAAATCATAATTAGAAACGTTGGTCACGTTTTGGGGATTTTCCCGGGACGGCGTAAAAATTTTCCGCGCCAGGCATCGACGCGACGACAAAACAGAAAACAGTTCTATCCGGGTTCTTTTTCTCCCGTAGCTTATTTTCGTCGTACGTTTCCCGCGGACGTGAAGTCAGCTTTAATTAACTTCCCCTCGGTACCGGAAGCTCTGTACGAAGCTCCCGTCCCCGACACGACAATCCTTATCCGCGAAAGACACGCGCAGACTTCGCAAATAACGAAGAATTTCATCGCAGACCGAGGGAACACCGAGAATTCTCTTCTTTTCGCCGGGATTGTTTCCAAGATGCACTTAAAACCGTGACCTGCACTACGATCTTGGAAACGATCATACTTCTCGACCAGCGATGGAATTCAAAACCGTCTCGAGACATCTTGTATCAAGGATGGAAGCTCCGGGGGAGTTATGAGAACGTTCTGACCTATGCAACCGTGGGTCTTTTTAAATTTGGAAATTCTAGGGAAGCCCAAGAGTCTCAAATGGCTCGTATAAATTTTATGCACGGCATAGTTCGAGTGTCTTGAAACTAGGAAACCTGATGCAATTATTTCTCGG